TTTTTATACTATGTGGTAATTTGTTAAATATTCTAATTCCAGTGTAAGATACTCCCTTTTGAGCCCTGGTTGATTTATAAGTTGGATAATGTAGTTCATATCTTTGTCTCGTATAAATGTTATGAATATCTGAATTTGCTACATACTTGTCCATGTTTTTAACTATGAAGACCAATACTGAAAATATATACTGTGAATAAAAAGGAAGAATGTTTAATTTCTTAAATAAAGGCCGACAAGTGTCCCTATTTCCTGCTCTCATTATTACCCTAATTATTCTTTTCTGAATTTTAAATATTTGTGTGCTATACGTTGAATTTCCCCAGAATATTATGCCATATGACATTATAGGATGAACGTAGGCATTATGCATCATCAATAAGCTCTCTACGAGACAATACTGAGACTAAAACTCTTATAGCATAACAAGCCGAGCTCAATTTGCTGGCTATTTGTTTGATATGTTCCTTCCATGTTAAAGTACTATCAACTGTTAGCCCAAGGAATTTCAAGGTATTCATATTATTAATTTGGATGTCACCATGTTTAATATTTAAGCTTATTAGTGCATCACATCTCACAGTGAGGCAGAAAGGGGTCCATTGCATGAGTATAAAAATATTAACAGTCTGCCTGATTATTTAACTGATTTAGTACATGATAAAAACAGTTCATAAAATAAATAAGGGATGTCCTAATACATAATCTGTCATATACTGTTGATGAATTTTTGCTCTTCTGTTGGGATCAACAGCTAAGGAATAGAAGGGGAGTGCATGCTGACTGATGGATGTCCCACAGTAGGCATCAATATAGACATTAAGTGTAAATATAATTTGTATTTTATGTATTTATTTTAGTTGCACGTTGTTTGCATTTATGTTTGTTTGTTATTGTGATATGGCATGTTGGAATTGTAAAGATGTATTGTTGTTTGTAAAGCTTGTGACGTGTTTCATATTCAGTGCAGACTGCACTTACGAATATCCTGAAATGCAGATGTATGTATGTATGTATGTATGTGTATCAAACTAGGGTACCAAGAATGGGTGTAGCCTTTAAGAAGAAATGGACCAACTCCTGAAGGAATTTGTGAGTTGCGAACATATGCACTTGTAACCTATCATTAAGATGGAGGCCCATAGTTATTGGAAACTGTTGTGTTTAAACTATATGTTAGAAGATGTAGATAAGGGGGGATAGCCTGATTCTTGCATTCATTCTTGCTATGTGAACAGTAAGTAGCCATCTGTGCTTTTCCTGGAAGTTTAGGTAACCTAAACATGGTGGCAGAGCTTTGGAAATCTGATGCCCGACATCTCAGTTGAGTGACAAATTTTAGGAAGGAGGGTCTACTACAGACCGTATAACCATTATAATTCATCTACCTGTCCAGAGGGCAGTTAGTGTCTTAAGAGTAAAAATTGTGTAGCAACTTTGGTTGCTTGGAAGATGCAAAATTTAGGAGACCTGAGTTTTAAACTAGACCAGTGAGGTGGGTTTAGGGGTAGCTCCTTAGAAGGAAGCTGATGACTTTGAGAAGCTTGTGGCTTCAGAGCAAAGCAGTTTTGAAGAGCTCTGATTCCAACTTCAAAAACATTTGGATGCAAAACCTGCACTCCTCAGTAATTCTAAAATAATGAATTAGATGAGTGTCTATAGTCACTCATTACGAGATCGTGGTGCAAATTTAGACCATAAATTCAATTTAAACTGCCGCAGAGTGTTTAACATTATTAAAGTGGAACTCCACTTGATGGTGTATCAGTATAATGTGCCACCAGTGCTGTTTAATAAATCACAGTTCAGTGCCAGTCATTATGGTTGTTGTGTGCAAATGTGTGTGTGCTAAAATGTTCCTCCTGTCCTGCTAGAGCAAGGCCCATTAAGACCAAGGGGTAGATCTCCTCTTTTACCAGACCCAACCCTGAACTAGCCATCTCGCTACCTATTCCTATCAGAAGGCATCCTACAGAGTTGTAGTCACCCCACCCTGTTACTGCTCGCACCAAAACAAGTTCTTCAGACTTCCCTACCAATTAGTTCAACATCTGTGAGGGGGAAGGAGGTAAGGATAAAGCCAGCATAGGTGAGTTCTATGACTATTATGTTTAAGCATCCTGTTACATTCCACACTTCTATATGTATAATATAAACTCCGTCATAAATGTAACATGTTATTGTAGTTCTTGTCCCCCTTCTTTCACACTACATGTTTTGGCCGTAATCGGCCATCATCAGGTGTATTTCACTTCACGTAGCTGTCACACTGCACTCAATATTAACATTTAAATTCCAGATTTCTAATTGTTCATTTTCTGTCATCAGTCGGCACCTGATATTCGAAAACTCCCCTCTCAATTTTGTCAATTGTGTTTTATTAATATTCACACGTCAATTGGTTTAAAATTTTAAATTCTCATTTAGCTTTAATACTTAAAATTTAAATTTAGATTTAAAAAACCAAAATCACAGAGATACTTGCTCTATGCTTATATGTGCTGCAGCGGCTACCTCTTGCTTTCAGCACAGCTTGCGTGTTATTTGTGCAGGTTCTCTGTGTGTGCCACTGCTTTTCTTTAATACGTTTGCTCAGTCTCTGTGATTTTGGGTTTTTAAATCTAAATTTAAGTTTTAAATATTGAAGCTAAATGAGAATTTAAAATTTTAAACCAATCGACGTGTGAATATTCATAAAACACAATTGACAAAATTGAGAGGGGAGTTTTCGAATATTGGGTGCCGATTGATGACAGAAAATAAACAATTAGAAATCTGGAATTTAAATGTTAATATTGAATGCAGTGTGACAGCTACGTGAAGTGAAATACACCTGATGATGGCCGATCACGGCCAAAACATGTAGTGTGAAAGAAGGGGGACAAGAACTACAATAAAATGTTACATTTACAACAGAGTTTATATTATACATATAGGAATTCTACAACCACTGAAGTATTGCGACACATGTGACTGTAGCAGAGAAGGGGCAACAGAATGGCTATAAGTGGTTTCTGATGCAGTGCCTTACATTCTCTCGGCCTGTAAAAGGGGAGAAGAGAAGAAATTTGTAGCATAAATTGCTACCTTCCTTTCTATCCTAGTTCCACGAATGTGCGTGCTTTATCACAATTTTTATTACATATTTTCCTGTTACCTCCCTCCAAATTTGCCTGGTCTCATATAATTAAATAGCTAGTGAATCTGACAAGGGTTGTCCAGTGATTGAGGTTAGTTCTTTCTAGGGGACCCAACTGAGTGGGTGTCTCCCCCTTCTCATCTGAGTACAGAAACAGATCCAGTTTCTGAAATGTAGTGTTTTCTAGTTTCTAGAATATTGGATGATGGACAAAGTCTAAAAGCCCAGTAATTCTGGGAGAAGAGCTCTTAAACACTGCACAAAACTGTTAGACCAGTGAAGGATATTTTCTTAGTTGTGGTTTGTAAGATGTTGGCCCATATGGCATAGGCTACATGCTTTATTTTTTTTAAGGGACAGAATAGAAATTCATGGATGTTAGGTAAAAAGTATGTGATAAATTTAATTTTATTGAGTTCCTCATATTTAGAAAGGACCCTTCCAATGCAATTTCTGCCTTTATATGTCAGGGATGCAGGCACTACAATCTGTAAATAATGTTATGTATGTACTTATGTAATGAAGTGGGCATGGCCTGATTAAAGGCACTCTCCCAACATTTGTCAGGAGGGTTTGAAAACCACAAGAAACCTCAGTTTAAATAATTGACATCCTGGCTGATATTTGAATTGGTCACCTTCCAAATATGACACAGAAGTGTTAAATGCTTGAGCCAAAAAGAAAGGCAATGTCCCTGTGCTTAACTAATTTAGCACTACACCATGCAGATGTACATGGGGGTGGATGTGTAGACTCAGATTTTCTTGACGTCAGCACTAGTTGGAGGTGAATGGTCAGCTTACACTCCTGCTGCTTTGCCTCCGGGGAGAGAGCCTCCAGTGCCCATTGGATAGGAGGCTGGTTGAGCCCCAAAGCCGGCCTGGACGACATGGAGAAGTGAAAAATCTTGCCCCCACTGAGACTCAAATTCCATCCCCTTAGTCATCCAGCCTGTAGCTGGTCGCTATACCGACTGCTATCCCAGCTCTTGCTTGAGCCAATTTGCATGGCACTGTTGTGATCCCATGGTACCAAACTTAAACATATAAAATCTGTGCCTGATGGGATTGGAGTTATGCCCTAGTAACCATATGTTTACTCAGAAACTGACTATACCTCTGTAGTAGGAAAGAATTGGTGTGAGCTAAGTAACCAATCAATGGAATATTGCAGTGACAAATACAAATATGGTTATTTGTGTCAGGCTTAAACTAATAATGAGTGAAGTATAGTACTAAGAACTAACATGCATGGAGCTTTTTCTCCAAGTCTCTGTGTGCTCCATCAAAGTACTCGTATGAATGGAATCACAATATTAAAGTAATACTAAAAAATTAGTTCTGTCAGTCAGGAAAGAGTCTTAATCAGTGTCTGATTCACTGCTAGAAGTTATATCACCAGACTTCATGGTACTTTGCCTGACAAGTTATTGATCAGAATGTTCAACTCCCACATTCATCATTATTCCTTGACAACATGATTTATAACACAGTCATGGAACTGAGTCTCTTGAGGCAGTGCTCTAAACTTGTATCTGGGAGGTGTTTGGTTTGAATTGGCTGTTCTGACTGAGGAAAAGCCTCTGAGCTTTCTGTATATCCCATTTGTGAAAGGCGTTTCAGAGAAGTCTAAAGGTATAGGGAATCAATATAACATAAGACAATCTTCAGAACTAAACACACACCTAGGTGTACACTCACGAAAACCAGGCCGGAAAGAGATCAGCAGCAGGTGGCCAGTGAGCCTACAGCATTCCATTTGAATGTGGCAGAAGCCACATTGGCAAAACAGGCAGATTTCTAGCTGTGTGGCTTCATGACCATAGGCACAATTTTAAAGAGGATCCTCTAGGAAAATCAAAATTAGCCCAACAGGTCCATGAAGAGGGACGTAGGGTAGGCTGGGATGAAGCTAGGATTTTGAAAATTGGAAGTAACAGCAGGTATAGCAAATACAAGGAATCGGCCCATGTGGCATGCTTAACCAGTGCGTTTAGCAATCTCAGTTTGGACAGTTCTCGCATCTGGATCCTTCTCATCAGCAGTGAGCTTAGCAACTCACAGAGAAGATCAGTATGGTGTGACAGATTCATCATGGGTTTTCATAAAGTTTTAGTCACGAGTGTTCAGTTTTTACTACACAGATGGCACTAGTGGTAGGCACAAAATGCTTTCACAAAATTCTCCAGTTAATACTATGTGTTAACTTCCATGGACTTGGTTGGCTAGATTTGTTGTATAAAATTTTCACTTCCATTTCTGTCTTAGTTTCAGGACTTTGCATGCTTTATCGCAATTTTTATTGTATATATTTGCTGTTACCTCTCTTTGATAAAGCCTGGTCTGAGGTATTTATACAGCTGCAGTTATACTGTCATGGGTTGTGTAGTGATTGAGGTCAGGTCTTTGTAAGGGCTCCAACAGAGTCGGTGTTCTTCCTCCTCACCTGAGGATGAGAGCAGATCCAGTTTCTGAAATACTGTGTTCTCTGGTTTTTTAGAATGCCAGATGATGGACAGAGTGAAAACACCCAGAAAATCTGGGTGTTGTATGCCATTGTCAGAACTGGTTAGAATCAACTAGCTCATTTTATGCTTATTTCAAAACTAATAAAATGCCTTTCCATTGACCTACTGCACCAGTTTATTCAACACATTTATTATCTTAAAGTTTGACTTTTTCCCTTGCATATTTTAATACTTTCTGAAAGGAAGAATATTATGCCTTTAAGTGTTATCCAAAGCATCTGCAGGTATTAAGTTGGGTTTTGCGAAGCACTTTACTGTAAAGAGTCACGTCACTTGTATAGACGATTCAACTTAAAGAAACATGAAGAAAGCAGTCTTCTGGGATGTTCTGCCATGTAGATATTATGTTAACTGATGTTTCAGAGGAACATATTGCCTCCAACTTCAAGGTAGAAGAAAAAAGAAGAAAATCCGCGAGCAAGGAACCAGCATGAGCAGGTGCTCACAGACATCCCAGAAGACTGATTTCTTCACAGTCACTGCTGTGAAAACCTCAGATCTTACTTAAACATGTTTGTTTTAAATTCTTTACACATATTAAAACTTTTAGCGTTGGCAGCACTAACATGGCGAACATCATGCTGTTAAGGTTGTAAAGTTTGATCACCTGATAATACATATGTACTTTCGATATTTCATGTTCAGTGCACCAAATAACTGTTGTGTTTAGCTGATGAAGAGGAAGCAACAGCAGGTCCTTGCCCTAAGGATATGGAATTGGCAGTTTCGATTATCAACAAAGTTATTAAGGGACTCAATATGGAGATCCGATGCGCACAGGATGAAATTACACCTGCAAAATATTATCTTCTTGTTAACACAGTGGACAGTCACATTTCAAGGTGGGTTATGATAAATTGTAGTGGTTACACTGTCATTACTGTCATTTATCTGCTGTTAACCCCATTTCTTACTCTGTGAGTTTTCTGTGGAGATAAAACAATGTGTTTCCTCATATTTCTAGGGATCACTTGGCCACAGATACAGTTATCACCATCACCTTAGCTCCTGTATTACCATAAACTTTGGCATGTGTCATACTTTGGCTGCTAAGCTTGTGCTTCTCACTTGAAATAACTGTAAACTCTTAAACTTTGTATCTGGGCTGTTTACATAGCACTTGCCCTTATGATCCTTGGTCTGGCATTAGGATGAACACTAAAGCAGTACTATTACAGTGACACACTAAAACTGCAGGTAGAAAACATCTAAATGTATAAAACAATAAGAGAACAACATGAACATGCGCTTAGAACTGTGAAAACGGTTTACAGTGAAATCCCTGTTTAATGACTGAAGGAATGGCTTTTCTTGCACTTAATCAAGGTTTTCACTAAATGGAGGTTATGCAGAACTACATCAAGAAACTGTTTTTCTACTTATAGGATTTATTGTGCATAATTATAAAATACATTCTTTACATAATTTATTAATTAAAAAAAAGTTTTTTTTAACAGATAAGTACAATATGAACATCAAATTAATTTCTGAAATAATGGTACACAGAGTAAGCAATGGTGTTCAGTAATGATTTTAGGCAAAAAGTAAAAGGGAGTAGGATTCTTGTTTCAACCACCATCACACTAAACTGAAGCAGGAGTTCTGGAAAGCAGAAATCATATGACATGCTTGGGTTATTTCTTGTTCACAAAATAAAGGAAATAATAGTCATCCATTATATGTATACAGTGGCCATCTTGTAGTGCACACAATTTCACCTGTCACTTCACAACATGTTTCGGCAACACAGTGCCATCATCAGGTGTCCCAACTACATCAATCTATTGCATTGCCTGCCTTCATATGTTTTCACCAACCATTTAAAAAGTATTTAAAAAGTCCGTGTTTGTCAACTATGATAAATTTACACTTGCTAAAACTTGTTAAGATAACTCATCTTATTTGTCTTAATTAAAACTTGTATGTGGTTCGTTCACTACGGGGTCGTTTTTCTTATTTTCTGTGTAAACCTGCAACGTGAAAAAAGATGCTTGTTATTATTATTTTCTGCTTCTATCTGTTAAATTTTGTATTGTAATGTTTAGTACTCACCACGTCTCGTGATGTGTGTTCCCTTCTTAGCTGCGAGTGTTGTAATGTTGGATGTGTGTGTGTGTCTTCGTATTGATTGAGTTATGACGTGGCGGCGGTAGATGTGGTGGGGGTAGGTGGTGGGGTTGTGTTATGTTGTTCTGTGTAAATTGTGTGTAATTCCTGAAATATTTGGTTATATACTTCCTTATTTGTATTATTCATATGTGTGTTTTTCTTTGTTGTTCTGTATATATGATAGTTTTCTAATGTGTTTAAATATTGTCCTTTCCTATGTGTTGCTATGATGTCCATAGTATTTTCTATTGTACCATATGCATGTCCTGTGTTTAATGTGTGTTCCGAGTATCCTGTGTTGCTGTTATTGTGTCTTATGTATGTGTTCTTTACATCTGGTATTAAATTTTCTCCCAGTTGTCCTATATATTCCATGGGGCAATCTAGGCATTTCATTCTGTATATGCCACTTTTGTTATATTTACTTGTTTGTGTTTTTGATTTTAAGATATGTTGTAAATTATTCTTAGTTCTAAATGCTAGTTTTAATTTTGTGTTACGAAATATTTTTGTAATGCTTCTTGTTTCTTTTCCTATGTATGTGAATGTTGCCCATTTCGTTTTTTCTTCTTCTGAATTCTCTGTGATGTTCTGTTTTTTTTGTAATGTTTTGGTTTCTTTTATTTGTAGTTATTTTAGTAATTATATCTGTGTTGTACTTATTGTTTACGAGTATGTTATTTATAGTGGCTATCTCAGTATCTTTTGTTGCTTTAGTGATGGGGTAATTGTTTACTCGATCAGTAAGGTATTTAATACCAGATATCTTGTGTTCTTGTGGATGACATGAGTCACTTGGTATTATTATGTCTGTTGCTGTGTGTTTGCGGTGGATTGAAAATTGCAATAATAGTGTTACATCATATTGTGACGTGTATTAATGGCTTGTAGATGGGGTTTGGATTGCTGAATCAATTTATTGGATAGTCACAATTTGTAAGTACAAGTAATTATAACACTCTGAAGGTTAGTGTAGCTATAACACACAAAGTGTTCAGTGTCTGCTTACACTAGTCATTGCTAGGTAACAGATCACAACAATGGCTATGCCTTTATAGTGTCTTCACTGTCCATTTCCTGGGAATGTATTTATAACACAGGAACTATGAAAGTCTCACTAAATTACACACTCCCAGTATCCTTGTACTACAGCACATGTAAAGTCACACACTATGTCTTCTCAGGCTGACTTCTGATTCTTTTCCAACTACTAACTTCCCATTGTTATATCCTACTGACAGCTGCGTGAACTGAACTGTGCTGAATCTTATATCCTCTCGGCATGGACTGTGGACAGGAAACACAGTCTGTGTATTGTTGTGTGATGTCACCGCCTATGTTTAGATGTGTTTACCAAGCCGTTGCCTAGAAATGGGTTGCATAACCCCAGTATTCTATTGTTGTGTGTGTATTAGCAGTGGCTGTTTCTGTGGCTCAGCAGTTCTTGCATGGAGCAAATATGCCACTATATGTTGGAATTGTTATTGTCTCGCTCAGTTGCAACTTGAAATCTTGATGTCAGCTTGTTTACGTTTATTCCTATTTCACTGCATGTTTCTGCACTCTCCTTTCCCTGCACCTTACACTGAACTAACTTGCAAGTTCCTGTGATTTTGGCTTTGCATCTAGTTTCTCTCCGCACATTTGCATGCCTCCACTTCTGAGTTCTCAGACTACAATTGTCTTCTCTGTATCTAGCAAACACGGTTTTATGTCAGTTATAGCCTCAAGAATGTTTTGATGATTACACAGATATGCAATTCTTTGGTTTTCTGTGAGGAACAAGAATGAGAAAGAGGAATGAGTTTTCATAATTTGTGTGGGGGGAGGGCTGTGCTGACCAAGCTGTGTTGCCTCCTCCCTGCTTCCTGTTAAGTCTTGTGACAGTAAAAGGTAAAGGTAAAGCTGTCCCTGTAACAGACCGCGAAAGGCCATAGGGTTGTGAGGTGTTGAGGCTCCCACATTTTCTAGGCAGTCGGCTCACAGATGGTGGTAAGGTTGCCAGCCTTATGCGCCAATCATCCTTTACCCCCCAGGAAGATTCCTAGTACTCATTTCTGTTAGAGGCTGAGGCAACCCCAGGGCCATAGTGTGTCTGGAAGGATTAGGTAGATTGAAAAAGTCCAATGACCTCATCAGGACTCGAATCCATGACCTTCTGGCTTGTAGCAACTATGCTACCATGTGCCTCTCTCATGACAGTACATTATTTATATTGGCCTTTATTTGAAACCAGAAGAAAGTGGGAACACTATATAAGGACTTCACCTTTTTACTACTACCATCCCCCCCCCTGCTTTTTTTGGTGAAGTTTGTGTTAAATTGATAGTGAAACTGATAGCCCAAGCTTTCAGTTCTTCAGGAAAGAAATGGAAGTAAGAACTAGGTAATATTAAGATTATTGTCTGCTGTGATTTGACTCCATGTGGCTTGGTGGTCAGCTATGAACGTTCGGGAGGGACCCACAGCCTTGAACTTTACAAGAGTTACCATGGGATTAAACAAGCTGTGTATCACTGGGACCGATTTGTCAGTAGAAGTGATGATTATGTGGAGAAGTAGAGGCTGTGTTAATTTTTCTTTGTTGTTTTGGACGTCTGCATTGAAGTAATAGATACTCGTACAAATGCAACACAGCTTTGGATGTTACTGAACAGCCTATGTGTAGAAATGAGAAAGGAGACTGTTACAAATAACATCCTGCCATTGAAGTTCACAGTATGTATGTGTTCACTAAAAATACTGCAGCTTATTAGTTTTCCCTTCTGTGTGAAACAGGACATTCAGCAAGTTTTCTGCAGCCGAATTGGAATTTTTCAAGACAGTTCTGTCTGAGATTGTGACTTCTGAAGATGGCTGCATTTCTTCTACAGCATGTCTCAATTTGAATTCATCTTTACCGGGGAACATGACCAAATCAGACACTGAAGCCCTCCTTGAGAAGTTCTGTAAATACCAATGGCTGTATCAGAAGGTATGTGTGATGTCTTACTGCAATACATGGGGAAGTCATAAAGTTTTAATTATCACCCAGTAGAAACAGAGACACAGGTGCAAGAAACTGTATGTGAGTTAGCCCTTCTCTACATATGCCCCCTGCAAGGCCACACATTTTCCCCAATGATGCATTAGCTGCTGGATATCTTGATCATAGAAGGTCTCATTTTGACTGTTTAGGAAGTCCTCCACTGCAGAAATGGCATCATCATCTTGGAATTGCCTACCATGAAGTGGCTTCTTTAGCTGTGGAAAGAGGAAAAAGTCGCTTGGTGCCAGGTCTGGTGAATATGGTGGATGGGGGAGAATTTCATATTCCAAACTGGCAGCAAATGTCATCATAGCATGAGCAGCATGAGCTGGTGCATTGTTGTGAAGAAGTCACACACCTTATCCCAGCATTCTGCATCACTTTTTCTTGATTTCTTCCTGTAATTCTCTCAGAAGGTTCTGGTAGTACTCACCAGTAATGGTGACGCCCTTTTGTGAGCCGTGTCGTTGGTCATGATGACACCCTGCCGATCCCAGGACACACTCAACATCACCTTTCCTGATGATGGCGAGTCTGCATGTTTCCACTGCTTGCTCATTTCCTTTGTTTCAGGGTCATAATGATAGACCCAACATTCATCCATCATGATCAGGCGGTCTAAAAGTTCCACCTTTTTGTCTTGACACACCTGCAAAAGTTTCTTTGCTACATCCATCCATTGCTGTTTTTGAACTGGTGTCAACAGTCGTGGCACCAAATGTGCAGCAACCTTTGTCATGTGTAACTCGTCATGGATTATGCTGAAAAGCAACCCATGGCTAATGTGAACCTCATGAGCAGTAGCTTCGATATTTATGCGCCTGTTGGATAGGATGAAAGATTCTACCTGTGCCACAATTCCTGGACCCTCAATGAGAGATGGTCTTCCTCTTCGGGGTTCATCTTTGAGGTTTGTCTGTCCACAATGAAAGCGCCTCTTCCACCTGACCACTGTGTCATATGATGGTACACCTTTCTGATACACAGCGGTCATCTGGTCGTGGGTCTTCCTGGCAGACTTCCCTTGCAAATGCAGGAACCATATCATAGGAAAAGCCTCCACTTTCTCAACCAACGTCACCATTTTGCTTCTGCCCTTTCTGGTGGCTCCCTCTGTCCACTTGGCATGGGAAAATTTGACTGTTTGGCAAGCTCAGGAAATGGGCTATCTCCTATATAGAACGATATTTTGGAATTATGATTTTCTCTGGTGATAGTTAAAACATTATGACTTCCACTGTAAGGGTTGCTACAGTAATGTTACGAAAATAAGTGGTAACGAGACAACCAAGATGAAGCTGTCCCAGAAGAACAGGTTCAAGCTTGTGTTTATGTTGCTTATTCATTAATTTATTCACCCCTTTCAGGAGCAACACTGAATATACTTGTTTCAATCTAGTGTGTGTGCTGCGCTAATCCAAAATACTGCAAAATTCCTGTTTAATGTATCCCAGTTTAATGTTTTTGCTAATTTAACATCCATTTTCAATGATCTCAAGTTAATGGTCTCTTTAAATTACTGCGATTTAAGATTTTCCTCATTTTAGTTTTCAAATACACGCTTCATCGAAAAACACATAAATGTGGGTTGCACGCTCTACTTCAAGTTCTGGGCCTTTCTTCCTACCAGCACTGGATGTGTTCATGGTATATTTTCTTGAAATCCAATCGCATAAATTTGTGAGGTGGGAGAGAAACTACCAAAAACAGGCTACCATAGGAAGCATATTTACTATACTTAGTGAGTACGAGGGGGTTTAAAGGTGCATAAGCTGCTTAAGCTATTTTTGCCTGCCTTAACCATACAAAGAGTATAGGAATGGTGGTAATGATGTAACCACAGTAGTGACAGAAACTACAGTCAAAAAAAAATTTAGAGGTCTGGGAAATGTTTATTAATGACATTAAAACAGTGTTTGATTTATCAAAAGGCAGCTATAAAATAATAATTTGAGTTGTAATTAATGTTTTAATGTGCACTCCAGTATAGACTGGAGCTTTCCAATCATGTGTACTAGAAAGTAGAAAAAGAGAATAATGGAAAAAGTAGGCCTTCCATATTATAACATTATGATATGTGATTCAAAGACAAAGCATGCAGGAGACCCTAGAAGAGAAACTCGGTGCAGTTGAAGGTGAAAGCGGAAATGCTGAAGTGCAGTGGAACGATATAAAAGAATGCATGTTAGATACTATCAGTGATTTGGTTGGTAAAGTTGAGAAGATAGCAAGGAAACCATGGGTTACACAGGAGATGATGAGTAAAATGGAGGAGCGAAGGAAATGGAAGAATGTCAACAATGAAGAAGGCAGGAGGAAATACAGGAGACTGAGGAATGAATTGAAAAGAGCCACGGACAGGGCCAAA